CCATGTTCTCGCCCAGTTCCCGTCCCTGCAGGAAGACAACAGGCCATTTCTTTTTCCGGATCAGGTGTCGAAGTCTTACGCCCGCCGGGAGCTCTGGGGGTCTCGTTGGCGACGCAGAGGGGTGGGGGAGGGGATGACAGACACAGCCCCGGGTGACGTCGCGGCGTGGAGTGTTTTTGATTTCTTGTGCGTGGGGGGGGAGAGACTCTCCTCCTCGGAAACGCAGGAGCCAGGTCGCGGACGGCGGCGTCCGGTGACACCCACACGGAGTGGAAGGACCCCGTGACCCGGCGTGAGCCATCGAGCTTCGTGGGGACCAGCAGCCCACAGGGAAAAAAAAAAGAAAACCCGTATGGCCGTGCGTGTTTAACAAAGTGATTTACTGTATAGATGCTCACAATCGGACCAGAGAACAACGTGTTTTGCCTCTAATTCGACAAATGAATTCCTTTCGACTTCGGATCCGAATCACGACGGCACGTAACTGCTGAATTCTGTCAGTCGCGACAGTTCTCGTCAACTATCATCATCAGCGCAGTGCCCTTCCTGAGCTCAGCCCAGTTTGTCCAGGGGTTTTCCTCGTTGTGAAAACCGCAGAAGACGGAGCTCGGCCCGTCTGCGGTCCTGTCGTTTAGACAGCTCCGGGGGGCTCGGTGCCTTCGCGACACTCGGGCGCCCCCTGCGGGTGGGGGTCAGCATTCCTTGGGGAGATCAAACAAATTCCGGCACATTTCGGGAGTTTTGTTTCCTCGAAATTGAGTTCCCACCAGAGAGAGAGAGAGAGAGAGGGATCACGCTCTCGTGTTCTACAGAGTGATCCCTTCCCACTAAATCGCTAATTAAAATAATTCCCCCCCCAAAAAAGGCATCGATGGCGTGCTCCCGCCTCAGCGGGGGCGGGCTGGTTCTCCCCGCTGCGCCCACAACCCCACGCACGGGACACCCCCCACGCCGGGCGACGCCGCCCTGCGGGAAACGAGACGCACGGTACGAGCGAAGCACGGAGAGGCACGGCGGGCGAGCGCGAGGAAAGCGTCGTAAACACGTACACACGGACAGGGCTGGAGAAGCGCGTGGGGGGGCGAAGGGGCTCGGCTCTATTGGGGGGCGGGGGGGTTAAACGACCCCCCACCCCCAAGACTACGAGAGCTGCCCCGAGGAGGGGGGGACAGACCTGGCACAGCACGAGGACACAGGAGCACGAGCAGTGCGAGAGGACAGCGGGGTACAGCACAGAGGTGGGGCGCGGCGCGACACCCCCGGAGAGTTCGGCAAGGCGAGGCGAGACCGAGCAGGAGGGACGTCTCCACCAGAACTGAAAACAACCCCCCAAAAAAACGAGAAACAGAAAAAAAGACGAGACGGTCAGGGGGCTCGGCCTGCGCGCTTGCGTGACTCTCCAGAGACACGGGGGGGGGACACACGATCACGGACACGGACACGGACACGGACACGGAACCGGCGCCATCGAGAGAGAGAGAGCAGCGCGTGGCATTGGCTTTCCTTTCCTGCTTTAGTTTGACACGTGACGCTCAAAGCCCCGTAGGTATCTGGATCCAAAATCTCCAATTGTCCCCCCCAAGAGTTTGACTGAAACAAGATATCGGGGCCGGGCAAAGCCGGGCCGGAGCTCGGCTCGGGCGGTCTCCGCCTCCAACTCACCCGTGACGTCTGTCGGGGGGGAGGGGGGGGGAAGGAAAGGTGCCGGGCTCCTCTCTCGCCGGCGTCCGTCACGGCGGCGGACCAGGGCTGTGCGGCCGGGCGGGGGCCGGCGGAGTCCAGCGGGTCTGGACCGGCCCTGCTGGGCTGCACTGCGGTCCTGCCGGTGTGGGAGCTGAGCGCAGCTCCGGGGGGGGGTGGTTACTGAACCCAGCGGGTGTGGGGGCGTCCCCAGGACCCCGAGTTCGAGCCCCTGCCCGGAGGCGGCTGGAGGCTGGCAGCCGATTCCGAATTGGATCCGAATCCGAGTGCCGCCCCTCCCAGCTTCCCCTGCCGGAGCCCCGGCGGCTCGACAGCCCTGCTTCGCCACGCAGGGGGGACCCCCAATCCGCGGACACGAGCTGGGGGTACGGAGACAGATCGGTGGGGCTACCCGGGCCACGGCCCCCCG